CTTCTATATAGAGGTCCATTTTGGTTGAATCATGGAATAATTTTGGTTGAAAGGGCTCTCTGGAGGTACAGCCTCCTGCTCAAAGGAGACAATTTCAAAGCTGTATCAGGTTGCTCTGGGTCTGTCCATTTGATTTTAGAAAATTCTGAGAATGGAGAATTCCCAACCTCTGTGGACACCTGCTCTGGTCCTGGATCATTCTCCTGGTGGTTTTTTATATTTTTTTTTAATTCCATGTATGCAGCTGGAATTTCTCTTGATGCAATTTGACTGTTGTCCTTTCAGTGGACATTTCCAGGAAGAGTCCAGGTCTGTTTTCCTTATGCCCCCCTTACACATGGAAGACCACTGCTGCATCACCCACCTTTACCTTCTGTTTTACAGGCAGAACAGGCACAACTCTTCTTGGTCCATCACCATCCTCTGGCCCCTCTATTTTATTGGCATCTCTTGTACCAGGGGAGCCCAAACTGAACACAACACTCCAGGTATGGTCTCGCAGGGAAGGGGATACCAGGGAAAGGACCACTTCCCTCAGCCTGTTGGCTACATGAGCACAATCAGCAGGCTCGCTCAACTCCTTACAGTTTTCACCCTTCAGAGATGCCCCCAGCCCTTTTTCTGCAAAGCTGCTTTTTATCCAGCCCATCTGCCCACAATCTGGCTACATAAATGCTTTGGGAGACTTTGGCTAAAGCCAAACAAAATGACATTCACTATTGCCCCTGGAGCCAATCACCTCACAACAGAAGGTCAGGCACAATTTGCCCTTCATAAACCCATGCTGGCTGTTCTCAGTCACCTTATTTTCTTTCGTGTACTTAGAAATGGCTGCCATGAGGATTTGCATCAAATGTCCCAGGGACTGAGGTCAGTCTGACTGGTTTGTAGTTTGCTGGATCCTCTTTCTCACCTTCTAAAAAGCTAGACGTAACATTTTCCTTTTTCAAGTCATCAGGAACGTCCCTTGATCACCATGACCTTTCAAAGAAGCCTGAGAGCAGACCCTGCCAGTAAAGACAGAGGTGAAGAAGAAACAGTACCTCAGTCTTTTTCTTTGCCTTCATCACTAGGTCACCCACTCCATTCAGTAGCAGGCCCACATTTTCTTCCATCTTCCTTTTACGTATGTCCCACTTGCTTGCAGAAACCCTTCTTGCTGCTTTCACATCCCTTGCTAGCTTCAGCTCCAGCCAAACTTTGATGTCTCTTGTACCATTCCTATATCCCTGTGCAGTCCCATCATCTCCCCTTGTAGCCCATCCTCACTTCCACATTCCATACAATTTTTTGCATTTGAACTCAGCCAGGAGTTTCTCAATCAGCCAGCCCATCCTCCTGCTATTCCTATGCCTCCCGTGGCTCCTGCCAAACAGAATCCTGAACAAGAGAGAGTTCACTTTCATGTAATCCAAGACTATTATTCTGCTACTTGTCCTCCTCTCTGCCCTCAGGGTTTTTAACTCTCATCTCATGGCCACTGTAGCCAAGGTTGCCATTGCCTAATGCAGCTGAGAACTCCCTCCTTACTCCTGGACTGCAGATCTAGAGTACCCTCTGCTCTATCCTGTCCAGCACCCAAGTAAAAGATGGTTCCTGTCACACTAACTCTCCTGGCCTGTTGGTGTTCTGCCATGCTGGTCTTCCTGCAAATTGGAGGTGGTTAAAAATTCCCCCTGAAAACCACAGCATGCAGTCAGGAGACTTCTTCAAATTGTTTAAGCAAGACTTCATTCTCTTCCTTTTCTTGATCGAGTGGTCTGTTGCAGGTCCCTACCACAATATCCCCTTTGTTGGCATTCCCTCTAGCCATGACAACAAACTCTTGGCAAGGTTGCCATCAGGGCTTTTTCTACTCCATTTATGCTCTGCACATTCAGACTACTCCTCTGTGGACACTCCCCTCCATTTTTCTTCTCTGCCTGCTTGTTAAGCTTGTGTCCATCTACCATAGCACCCCAATTTTGCGAGCTATTCCATCATGGTCCTGTCATCCCAGCAACATCACAGCTTCCTCTTTCTCTTGTTTCTTCTGTTGCACATTTGTTTGTGGAAAAGAACCTTAGATGGTCTCAGTCACCGTGATTTCTTGCAGGGAAGGATGTCCCACCCTCACACTCTCCTGTGTGGGCTCCCTTCAGTTCCCACATACCTGCAGGCTCTGGTCTACGCACCCAATGAAACCTAGTTCTAACTCTTCACAACGTTAGTAATCCTGTCAGCAAAGATAATCCTCTTCATCAGGTGCACCCTGTCTTTTCCTGGCAGACTTCATTCCTAGAGGGTCCCACAGCCACAAAAACCCAAAGCCCTGCCCGTGACACCAGCAACATACTGGAGAGGGGCTCAGGCAAGGAACAAAGAGCTCTGATGGGCAGGACCCTTGCAGAAGGAAGTCCCTGACTACTGTTACCTGTCACTTACAACCTCACTGGCTCCGACAGTACAGCTGGATGCATCTGCAACTGCAGAAAAAGCTTTGTTTTTTTCCTCCACAGGAATCCCAGCCAGCTCCCTGGGCAGGCTGCTTCCTCACGCACCACACGCTGACCAGACACACAAGCCTGACACACCCCAACTTCATCCCCGTTATGTTTCCTGCTCAGCATGGAACTTCTCCTTCTGCTTTTTGTTCCCACCTGCAGTTAATTCAGCTCATAAGCATCAGGTCTGCAGTTTTTCTCCCACACTGCGCTTACAAAACTTTAAAAAGCGTTTGGTTTTTTTTTTTGGAGGAGCTTACAAAGCATTCTTTTCCCCTAGCCCAAGTGACACACTTCAGCAAAAAACCTCAACACTAAAAGCAAACATTTGGTTCACTGAACAAAGCAAGTGTTCCCCAAAATAACTCTTTAATTACACGCTCAACTTTGTTGTGATCTCTCTACTGTTCTTCAACTACTGTACTGAGACAATGCTTGAAGACTGCACCAGTAAAAATAAGATGAAAAAGTTCCACCCTCTTTCTGTACTTAAAGGCTCACTATTCATTTACTGACCATTTTTCCCCGAAAAGTTCAGTGGACTTCACTGACTGAGGCGATTTATTTCAAGGCTGGGGAGAAAACAGTTTGTGGCACTGGACAGCAAGGTATAATGTATATTTTGCCCTCTGAAATATTAAGAAGAATGAATTATTTGGGAAGTTACATAACTTTACAACTGATTGATTTTAAAGACATTATGGACATATTCCAAAAAAGTGACATATTGTACATGCAAGAACAGCTAATCTATTTTTCCTATTATCCTGTATTATAAATATAGAAAATTAAAAAAATAACAGCAGTGACAAATTTTAGTACTCCAGCAGCCCAAAACCAGAAATGGTATGTTAGAGATTATTGGGCTTTGGGTTTTTTTTTTACCCTTTGTCATTTTCATCAAGAGAATTTAGCACTGTTCATGATACACAAACAAAGGAACTGATGCTTTTTGATGTTCATTGCCGTTCTGTGAGAGGTTTGGGTTTTGGGTAACTCAATGGCCTTTTATAGCCCACTTACTTTTTTTGGTAGAAATCAAGACAGTCACATTGCAAGTTGTGCTTCTGTAATACCGCACTCATTATAGCTAGTCTTTAGAGGATTAAAGAGGTCACCTACACATCTACCCAAACTGCATCTCTTACTATTCAGTTCAGCTGCTCTCGGTTCTACCTTACAAGGAAACATCAAACCAAAAAAGACCTACCAAAAAAGATGTATCCGGTATCTCCTGAAATGAACACAAAGCACTGTGGTCATCAGCAGAAATTTAATTCCTGCTGCCTGGACAGTGCAGAGGTTTGTTAGCTTTTACCCACAAACTGAAACATTCACAAATGCATTCTTCCTGAAGAGAAATCTGTGCTTTGTAGAAAATAATTCATTAGTAGAACTTGCTAAAATGCAAACAAAGCAAACATGCTAAAAAGCAAACAAAGTAGTAAGACGCTCCTTTACCATGATCACCCAATCTCCCTGTCAGTTACCAAAGTGCTTTAAGTTGTCCCAAGAGCTAGTTATATTGTCTCAGTAAGGACTATTTTGTCAAAGCAGTCTAAAGCTGAGTGGTTTCATTGCAGCTGGTGAAAACATCACTTATGAGGAAATCTTTGATCAGACGTAATGTGGTTTCTCATTTTGCTTAAAAAAAAATAAGAGTGTAGTGAAGTTACTGTATTACAAAAAAAAAGGGACATATTTTTATAATCCATCCTCATCACCCGAGCCATATTAATGGTATAGAATTGTCAGCCACAGCTTAGCCAATTTTTTACTTCTGGAAATTGCAGGATTTGTTAAACAAATTACAGAGTCCGCATGTTTAACAAAAAAACATATTTCTAACTAGAGCTAGGTGGTACAGAACTGCACAGACCAGTCGTAAAGGCCAGTCTCAGACACTTCCTTCTCTGTTTAGAGAGATGTCTGGGAACCAGCAGAGCCAATGCAGAACAACACTTCAACAAGAACATTCCCATCTTCTAGTACAGGGCTCTAGTTGTTAATTCTAACAGACTGACGAGGTTGGGTATTGCAGACCTAACTGCATTAGGTCTTTTAGGGAGAAGCCTTATGTAAAATACCAAACAACATGGTTTGAAATGTACACCAAAATAAGCATTCAAGAGAGCTTAGCTTGTCAGACATGTTTAAGTAACAGTAACAATGGTAAACAAGACAAAATTTTGCCTGTCAAGATGGGATTTTTATCCTTTGTCTGTTGAATCATAAACCATCTGACAACTCAGAATGATATATCACACATCCAGGTAACCCCATTCAGTCTGGCCTTAAACAGACTTTAGGATTCACCATCATGAACCGCAAGATCCTTTGGGCTTACAAAAAACCTAGGCATGCACACACTCAGAGACACACACACACTCAGTTGCAGGCTGGACTAACTCTGGAAAAAACCCCACCTTTTTCAAGAAACCCCCCAAAACCCACAGGGCTTCCTGAACCTCCCAATTGTTAAGATTTTTGATTCAAGAAGTCTCAAAAAAACCAATGTAGCCAGCACAAGAGCTTTATTTTGCAATTTGAATTATTATACACAATTCAGTAAAAGCCCTCAGGAGGCTTTAATTTCCTTAAATTAGAGCCAAAGTGCAAGGTCTCCAGTTAACCCCCAAGGTAAGAGAACAACACTTTGTTGTTAACAAAAGTCATGTCTAATTAGATATTTAAAAGGCCACATCTTTAAATGCAATTAGAAATTATTTCATAAAGTTTTTGCTTCTTTTGGTCTGATAAAATTGCCACATATCCTACAGCTAACACATAATGGAACATTATGTTTTCCCAAGACATATTAAAAAAGCAAACAACACTGTCCCTACATTATTTCATACACCTTAAAAACAAATGCCAGAAATCAATTGTACCTAGGTATTGAAGTGGAATTTTATTTCCTTCAGACACACTGTTGGTTGTCTTAAAGAAAAAAGGCCAAAAAAAGCCCCAAACAAACTTTTCATACACAGTATCTTGAGGCACAGGTTCGCCCATACTTAAAGGAATTTTTACACAGGGTGCATCATATGTTACAACATTGTTGCTACGTGAAGTCTATGGCACATTGATTTTTTGGGGTGAAAAGAAATTCTCTTCTGTGTTCAGCTGCTACAATATGGCACAAATTACAAGTTAACATCATAACTAAATATTCTGATGCTTTTTTGCTGGCTATTTTGGGGTGCACGTAAATTAAAGGCACACTTTTCCTCTCTCCTCTCAAATCATTTAGGTACTGTACAAGCCCAACTTCCCAGCACTGCTCCATGCCTGCTGGCCCAGTGCAAAACCAGATTTAAGTCAGCATCCAATGCAGCAGCAGCTCTATACGCTTAACTAATGGCTTTAGCTTAGCAGGCTACTTCCACTGTGATGACCATTGATGAGAGGCCAACAGTGTTCCTGAAAAAAATTACAAAGCTTAAAAAAAAAATTAAGTTATTTATATTCACTTACATGTAATATTTTTCAAATGTGTTCACAATTTTCAGAAAGTGCACATTTTGAAGTCATTTCAGTATGACAAATGTCCATGACCTATATATCATAGCAGCGCCATGTACAACAGTACCATTAAAGAACTGTCAAGGTTTCCGTTACTGACCCTGTTTTGCAAGAGTATAATGAAAACACAAGAATCTGCTCTTAGCTAGAACTTAGTGTCCATAATGTCTTCAGTATGGTATTTTTAAACATTTGGATTTAATTGTGTATAGCAGTCAGAATCTGAAAAACAGAAGGTTAGTGGTTTTACTTTTTGGCGCTCATTTTTATATAACAAGGATTTTCAAGAATGAAAGTGAGCTTACAGCACATGAAGAGCCCTCAATAATAAAAGCTCCACAAACTGTTACCACACTGTTAAAAACCTAACAAAAAAAATCAGTAAGATTTAATTAATGATTTGCTGATCCTTACAAAATTACTTTTTGTGATTTAACAAGACATAATATCAATGAAATTATCATATATAAAAACAGCTTAGGTCTGAACATCAACAGTCTGACAAACATTTAAACAAGAATATTCGGAGTTATAACTACTACTAAATTTAGCTCCTAAATTTAGATTTGAGAGCTTAGATACTCTCTATTTGCTATGTCTTTAAAAAAAAAAGTCCAACTTTCAGACGAGTCTGAAAAACAGCAGTTTCAAGTAAGTTTGGAGCAATTAGGTATTGTGGCTAGAGTTACCATAAATACGGACTACCTGCTGACTTGACAAAGTTGTGTTAAAAGAAGTGTGAGTTGAACCACTACCTCTGAAAGTTCTTGCTTTGGTTATCTTAAAAAAAAAATAATCAGACTGTTAGAGTAACAGTGCAAGTTCACTATAAAGCCACATGCCTCTCTGTAGATGTTTTCTCATCAGTTGGTTTCTATGATGCCCACTGCCAGCAATGGACATTCCGCTTGGAAAATCCACCTCCTGCTGTAAATGTCTGGCTGAACCAGATGAAGAAAATAATTCTGAAATCAGACTCAAACGGGAAGGTACTGTTTCATTTAGTTCTTCTTAAGAATATTTAAAAGCCTTCTCCACCTACAGTCTTTTTGAAACACAAGGCACAAATAGGGAGTGGACATTCCAGCAAGAAGTGATTGTCTGAAATTAACAGTCCACAGCTGTCTTCTAGTCCAGCACAATGAAACAGGTTGCTGTCCAATTCTATGCCACGTCTTCTAGATAATCTGCAACATCACTTAACTGAGAAATGGTAAGGTCTTGCGTGATGCCTTCAAGCTAGAAAACAAATGAAATCACAAACAGTAAGTACTATTTCTTGTAGTCCTTCACAGAGCATACCAGCCTTCTGGCCTCAAGCTCTTTCAGTGAGAAAGAGCTCTTTTAGAAGAGTGCTTCCCTCTTTTTTCTTTTAAAAGAGTACACTCCTTTAGAAGGTGCTCAGACAGATGTTGAGATATAGGGAGAAGACATTTCAACGCTGGAGAGTAAACCAGTCTTAAAGAAATTTTACATACCTAGAAACAGTGAATTGTGCTCCCAAATAATTGTTGAGGGGGCTTTGTTTTGTTTTTTAATCAGTATAGTATCTAACTTGGCAGGAATACAGGACATAATAATACAACATTAACATCTATCCTAGAAATCTATGTTCATGGCACATTCCTTCAAAGAAGGTTAAAAAAAAGACAAGATCGGAATCATGTCAAGAAGAACAATTTTAGAAGAATCTTACTTTATCACTGGCATTTGACTCTTCTGTTTCCACTGAAAGTTCATCTATTTCTTCACCAATACTGATATCACTTTTTTCTGAGCGATGACTAGTACTAAAGAGAAGGAAAATCATAAATGTAGAAAAAAGCTTTTCGAACATCCAGATATTACATTCACCTTCACTTTATACCTGACATTTGATTGGGATTTCACTGTCTAGCAAGTTAAATATGAAGTTACTTAAAAACTCATAACAACTAAAGTTTTTCTACCTAGATGGAGCCATGATAAATACTGATAAATACTTAAGCCTCAGTCCTGCAATTTAAAACACCAATACCTTCACAAGGCTGTTACATATTTATCAGTGACTACTCCCAATGCTTTATTTTTTAGTTGAATATTTCAGCATACACCATATTGTCTAATAGCATTAATTATAGTGTTAAAACATTTTTAAGTACATGATTCAGGAAAAAAAAACACCTTCCACAAAAAAACAACAGCTTCTCATCTCAAAGTTAGCATCAGGTTTTTAAGGAGCTCGTTACCCCCAACACAAAAGAGATCTGGGTGGTTTTTTGTTTTGGGCTTTTTTTTGTTTTGTTTTAATTTATAACTGTATGTATTAAAATAGCAACCTCAGGTTTAAAGGAGCTTAGAGATATTGACAGACTGCAGCAACAGTGACTAGCTGAAATATGAAATAGTTCAAATACGCTAGTGGATATGCTTATAATGCCCAAAATGCTATGCTACTGCAATATCATCTTTCTCTTACCTGTTGAAGTCATCAGCATACTCATCGTCATCTCCATTTCCTAAATAAGTTTTAAAAGATATTAATCAAACAAGTTCTCTTCAGGAAATGAAAAAAAGAAACTATTCCTGCACCAAAATACATAGTTTAATGCCAGCAAAAATGGGAGTAGATTGAATTACTTGTACAGATTAGGAAGAGAAGGTGAGTTTATGTTTGTCATTCATTAATCTCAATCTTATTTACACACCCTGTTTTCAGGATGTTGACTACATGGCTGAAGACAAAATTTAAATACTCGGCAGCTCTATTTTGAGACAGAGATGACAGTTCTTATATCACATCATCTTCATATTGCTCCTAAAGCTTACAAGGCAACTTTCAAAGGTCCAGAGGGCAAGTAAAAACACCACTGAAAAAACAGTAAGACTTGTCTGGCTATCTTTTTCCACAAATATAACCCCCCCAACTTTTATTAGCTACCTAGTCAGAAAAATTTATCACTTGATATTAGCAAACATTCACAGAATGAATCAAATTTTTGCTGCATGTGTAAAATAATAATCCACATCAGTTTTCACTTTTCTGTATTCCTTTGGATCAGATTTCACTCTTCAGTAAGTTTCAGAATGGTGTTAAACAGAGTGATAGAAGTAAAAGTTGAAGATTTTAGTTCAATATGTGTATTTTGGTTTCTCAGATTCCCCTAAGAAGCCAGGTTAGAACTTACAGTTAAAAATGTAAGAGCTTCATCATGTTTAGCAGATACTTGCCTAATTCTAGTGATCCCAGTTTTGCATTCACCAACCGCAGGTCTTTCAAAACAGAGTTTCTAGTCAAATCTGTAACAAAACAAAAGCATTTGTATCAGAAATTTGTGACTCTTTAGTAAGATCCCACTTAAACTCCCATCAGCCATTTATAGTGAGTGGTCTTTTATAATAACCATACATAATTTTGTAGTATAGTATGGTAATATTATATCCAATTTTCATGTCTGAACTGTGCTAACATTTAAAAACACGAGTAGCAAACAGGGACGATCTCCCAGTATTCAGGATGATGTTTTACAACATGAAAGCAAACATCCTTAAAGAATTTGTGCATATAATGTTAAGATAACAACACAAAGGAATAACTTAATTTCAGCTAAAAGCTGCGCAGAATTTTATACTCCTGAAAACTGCTTTATATATGCAAAAAACCAGGACTGTAGGTAAGTATTTCACGCTCCAAAGCATAAGATGTTGCAGCTATAGTATAACATACCAGAACTGGTATGCAATCACTCAGTGAAAAAAGCATCCCTATAAATCACACCACAACCAGAAGGGGGCCGCATACTTAACTACCTTTACATCTGAATGTGTAGATCATTCATTACATTATGGGAAATATCTTCTACATTCATCAAAACACAAGAACATGTGGAAACTTACTGTCAGGCTCCTTTAGCGAAGGCGCACCAGTCAGGGAGCTTAACCCACTTTTTAGAGGCGGTGCATCAGAAAGGGATGCTAGACCTCCTGCTTTATTAGCATCAGTTTTCCTGAAACAAACCAAAGAAATAAGTACTCCAGAGCTGCAAAATGGGTGTAGCAACTTTCTCTTCTATTATTTACTAAATAGTCATAAAACTAGAACAATAATATTTACAGCAAGAAGAGCAAGGGGAAAAGACTATTCAATCTGCAAGCTTAAGAACAGTCAGCAGTTTACTGGCACAGGTGTCAAGCAAGACATTCAGTAAGAAAGTCACTTTCTCACCTATGCAAAGGCTTCTGCCTGCCTTCTTTCACAGACAGAGCTCCTGCACCTTCATCAGCATCACTATTTTTATCAAAGGGCCTTTCATTATCCCCACATGTAAATGCAGCCAAAAAGAAGAAAGATTCAGATATAAATCAATATTTAAATTAGTTTCTATTACAACTAAGAGAGACGATGCCTGACAAAACTACTAATCCCAAAAGCTGTCAGTTGAACAGAATGAAATCCTCTCGGTTATTGCAAGACAGATCTCATCATCATATCTTAAAATTCACTTGCCTACTACCTATTCCATTCTTGTATTTAAAGTGTTGAGTTCAAACCCTACTTGCAAGTAAAGGATGAAGAAACAATATTAAAGAGAAACCGAGATTGTCACATTTAGCATTACCAGCACTGTTTGTTACTGTGATTCCATTCCTATTAGTAATGGACAAGTGAACAATTCACTGTATCATCAAAATATCATGTATACCATCATTAAAACACTTCAAAATTTTGAACAATGGGACAGAGACCTAGGGGCAATAAGAGCTCGGATCATCTCTTACTCTGTCCTTAGTAACTGCTTGTTCCCTTCTCCAATTCACCCTTCTAAAAGGAACAGCCGAACTCCCACAAGGAATCTGCCCTTTGCAAACCAAGCAATGCTGGTGCCTCTCCTACTTATTCATCCCTTGGGCCTCAGGCACACCACCAGAACACAGCACAAAGGGACTTCACCTGCAGATTATGGTCTTTTTTCTCCTCTAGAGGAGCTGCCAGGAAGTTAGAAGCAAAAGACTCAGCAGAGACACCTTGGTTACAGTTAGTTGCCAGCTCATTTATTATTAACGTATTCAGTAAGCCTTATTATGGAACATTACTGTAACATCTACATCACAGTAACATTATGAGGTACAAATTACTACTTGGTGGACTGTGGTTCTACTACAGACACATAATTTAGAAATCATTTTTTCTGTAGGGAGTTTCTCTACTAGGAAAAAAAATCCTTATTTTACTGAATAATGAAGTCTTTTCCTTGCGTGCACTTTTAAAGAAATCCAGTTTACCCAACTTCAAAGTGAATTTCACTTCTTGTCACATGAAAATACTTGAGCAGTAAGAAATTAGTAAATATTATTAGACAGAAGTTTTTCCAGCCTTTTCTTGTTTTCCCAGCTTATAATTTAAATCTATTTTATGGCAACACAGCCAGCTGCTACTATGGTTAGACTTTGATTGAAGGCTAGTTCAATGAGCTCTTCAGTAAGAAGTAAATGCACACAGATGTAGTTTTAATCTTGATATTTCCAAATAAGAAAAAGGAAAGAACACAGAAGGGTAATATGCAACAGACAGTATTTTCCAAATAAAAATCACTGCTCTTTGAAGAAAACAAAATTCTGCTCCAACTAAATACATCCAAAGAAAGCTGTACTATAATATTTTTCAAAGAGTCCATTAATTTACTAGAAAGACATCTAGCTTACCTGGCATGACTGCCTTGTGCTGTATGAGAATGATGCCATTCCATAAGTAAGCATCTACTGTAGTGATAATACAAAAAAGTTTATGCTGTTCCACCCACTATTGATGTAGTTGGGGGAAGAAACCAACATGTGGAGAACTACTGTGAAACTGACTTGCAAATGCTTCTGTAACCTCTCCTGGTAACCTCTATTAAGCTAGAGCAGTTCTCCGATTACTCGAGCACAGCAGAGGAACAGCACGAACCATCCTGCAGCATTTCTCAAGAGGTATCTGAACTAAGCTTCAAGATAACTCAACAAGATAACACCAAGATAGGGTTTTCAGTTTTACAGTCACTAGTAGTTCTTTCAAATGGAATTTTTCAGACTCCATAGATGAACAATAAGCATCTGCAAAACTGACATATGCAGAAATAACAACACTTCACTGAAACCATAGAACTGCACACAAAAGGTGCTACAATGTGAAAAGGAAGCCCTCAGCTATGAGAAAACTATCCTTATTCTTACAGCCTATGGAGCCAGCTTACATATTCACTGTCCCTGTCATTGTCTCCTTCCCTTAGTACTGATCACCACTGCAGCTCTGCTGCAAGAAAAAACACTAATAATCATTCCACCAGTGAAACAGGCTGGGGACCTTATATAGTTTATGATGAACCTTAAAGTGATACAGGTTTTTCCACTCATGGTACATCCAAGAGATCCCAGATGACACAGCATTTCAAAGAACAGAGTAATAAAAATACACATCTCAAAACCAAAACGTTACAGAACAGATCTAAACACTCACATTTACATGTGCAAATAATCAAACATCAGCTAGCTTTCAAAGGTCTGAGGACAAAATAAATCCGCATTAAGTAGAACATCCGTGTTACTTACCAGCCATAAGTTCTTTCTGGTTTGGGTATAGGATCATCAAAAAAAGAATCTCCCTCTACATCATCTTCATCCACACCTGGATCACTCTTTTCTTTGGTATTTAAGTCTTTGTTTTCTAGTTGAGGATCTAGTTTTGTTTCATTGGGCAGAAAGTGAATGCTTCTTTTGCTTGCTTCCCCTGATGAGACACTTGTGTCACTTTGAGTAGTTTCAGCAGCCTTGAAAGACAAGGAAAAAAAAAGGCCTCACTAAAAGGGATAAGTATTTATGTCTTGTAATACTGTAAGCGGTAATATAAATACACAACATAATATATGCCAAGCATCACTTTTTAAAAAATTAGCTCAAGTTTGTTACTACTTCTCAGGAATTCATTAATATCATCAGGAATCACAAAAGAAAAAAGTTGTTTTATCACTTTAGAAAGGAAGTGTTCTTCATGGTTGCTGTCATTAAAAAAAATTTATTCTATCCTCTGCATTGCTTTGCTATCTAAATCACCTCTACTATGAAAGCAATTTTAAACCAATTTCAAATGCCTTTGGACATCAAATAAAGAAATATACAGTCAGACTGATTCTTATCTCCTAGCTTTGAATAGAGGGCGGGGTTTTCTGTTTTACAGCCTGAAAGTTACATGATACTTTATTAGTGTTATTTTGCAACTCTTCTATAAACAAATGTTTAGTTACAGTCATTGTCTTCAAAAGAAATCAATGTAAACCCATGCAAATTAATCTAACGCATATTAAATTGTAATCTCTACAATATAACATTAGGTTTTAAAGCAGCAAGCTTAAGATGACTGCAGTTAATGACACATTCAGAAGGCTGAAGTAAAATTTTCAAACTGTAGGCCATGAAAATTGAAACAGGCCTACTAGAGTAATTTTATCTCAGTCACAGAACCTCATTGAATTGCTGGCAGCAGCTCAGTTCTTCCAGGGCAAGAAAAAGTACTTCTACTTATAAGTAGTAGTGAGAACAATATTTTAATTTCCTATCCTAGAGGAACAGAACTGTTGTTGAAAATTAAGAGCTTAGTAATACCCTGACTGGAGTAAAGGGGAAGTTACAGCTACTTTTCAGTTCTGGGTGCTGTGGGAGTAAACTGCTGCTATCTCCTCTGAGAAACTACAAGCACAACAGTTGGCTTTTGCTTGAATTCATATATGTCCCATTTTGAAGTAAAACAGAACCAACTTTCTGTTTAGTAATTTTCCATCTTAGCTAGGCCTCTTCTAATTCTCTCTCGTAAAGTTTTGCAAAAGTGAAATAACTACTTCCAAATTACAGTGATAGGTTAACTGTGGCTAATGGTTCAAAGAGCAACAGGCCTACCTTGGGTTTTCAGACTAACAGTGTTAGTAAGATAAGTCAGAGTGTGGTTTCACACTTGCACTTAAAAAAATTTAATTATTTGCCGCTGCCAAGAGCTGTGGTCTGGGTCTTTTCTAGCACACTCCCTTCTACGTGACACGTACTGGTTGCCAGGTCACAGTCAGAGCCAGTTCAGCTCAGAGGTTTGCAAAACCTGTTTGAAAAACCACCTGAGAACATGAAGTTTCAGCCAGGAAGTCTAGACTGTTGAGGTAACTTCCATCTTGCTCCAGCCAGGACTGGCTAAAATTTCCTCCTCCTGTGTTATTTGTATTCCAAGTATGTTGCACAGGCAGAATATTCTCCCTGCCTTTGCCAAGGAGAGAGAGAACCAGGAAAAAAGAAATATCTAAGAACTGTAGTCCCATTAAGATATTCACAACTTATTCTTGGAGTACGTAAGTCCAACCAACTGCTGTTGGTGTTTCTATGAGGAAATCTCCATACAGAAACCAGTTTTCTCCCGTTTATGAGCTAAATACATTTTCATGGAAGATTCAGCAATGTTACGAAAAGCATTTGCAGAACACATACATTTATCTCCCACTGCAATGGAATTATGATTTGCTTGCCACAAAAGATGGATGTAACAAATATAAAAAGCCTGATCATGAATTCAAACTTGACAGAAGTTATATTCTACTTGCAACGTCACTACATCAGAAAGAGCATGTAAATGAAAACGTTCTTATCACCACCTTGGCTGCTGCTGCATGTCATAACTATTCAACTCTTAACGGCAGTGTTCTGACAATGCACAAAACTCTCCTTAACAAAAGGAAAAATGGTTCAACGCATGATCTTTTACCACACTTCAAAAATTCTTGCGCAGAATTACATACTTCTATCTGTTAGTTTCACTAAAAATTAGACCCTAGAATAAATCTTAGAATCACTTTCTTGTGTCCATATACTTATTGGGAATTAAGCGCAAATACACATTAAAAAAATGTCACTATTGACAAGACCAGTCCCAACCCCTATCATTTAGGTGAAGTCAGTCAATGGGAGAAGATTTTACATCTATGGACTAGCACATCTAAATAGTCAATAGCAGCTTGAAAAAGTATTCTTTTCTGTGTTGAGGTGGAATTCAACACACTGCAATACAGCATGACTCCTGGAAAGCAGTACTGATATTTGGAAATCATTCAGACATGGTTCATATTTATTTTCTGCTCAGTTTGGATGCCTCTATTTGAGCTGGGTACAGGAGTTTGTTTTGTACAGGCCCAAACAATTGTGACAAAAGAACTAAGACCGTTCCTGTTATAATCTTAAACAGCAGCAACTGTTACTACTCCATGATACCTCCTCTAAAGCAGAGTTTCCAGGCATAACTTAAATCTCATTCTTATCAATGTAGTTTCCTAATGAAACAAGTCATAAGATACTATGCTGCTCTGTGCTTGTGTCTCTGTCTTCCCCTAACTAATGTATTTTGGACTGGCTGGCTAAGTTCAATCACTGCAAAAAGAATAGAAGTTCCAAAAAAAAAAACCCCAAACCAATAAAACAACCACCAACCCTGAGTAACCGCATTGCCAAAAGCTCTGTCAGAAACAGATATAGAGGAGTAAGATTCATACCAGACAGAGCCTTGAGACATCTTCGTGCAAACCCAGAAAACACCCATATGAAACATGGTTCAATTTACAAGCTACTGGAACTATTTTTTTTTTTCTCCTCTAGACAGGTATTCTTTACATGAGGAAAATCCATATAACAAACATGTGGCTTGTTTTCTTCTGACCTACCTACCTGAAGAGGAAAGGTGGTATATGCAAAGGAGAATGGAATATTTATGACTCTCTAACTTGCTCAGTAGTTCTTCTTAGCTAATCTAGAGCACTCTAAGACAAAGGCAGGGGCTCAGTTATGAAGTTTAATCAGCATTCAGCTCTTTCAAATGGATTTGTTCTGTTTTAAAAGCTGGTGCAAAGCAAGAATTATCTTGTCCTAAAGGTCTGAAATATCAGAATTTTCATTTGAAGTTCAGTTACAGAAATATTAGCTTTTAAGAGACTATCAACAAGCACAGCAATTAATAAAGTAACTTAATCTTGAAATGAAGCTTGCTTGTCAAACTATATAGTTTTCTGGTTTTGCATGGCAAAAAAAAAGAAAGAACTGGAATAAAACGAAGCAGATCTAAACTGAACTGTCATTTTATTTTCTTTTATCCTTACCACTCCCTTTCCCAAATGAATAAACTAAGAAAAAAATCCATGCAATGTTGTGCTTCTCAGCTTTCATTAGTGAGTCAGAAAGCTAAGTTATTTCCAGTAATCTTGAAGAAAACTATTAAAACTTTTAAGGTGATTACATCAATGATTTGAACAAACTTCAGTATTTGAATCAGGGCCATTTTGCTTTGTGGGATTTTTTTGTTGGTTTTTGGTTTATTTTGGGGTTTTTGTGGGGTTTTTTGGGTTTTTTTTTAAGTGGGTGTAAAGGGTAGCAGGTTTCTTGTGGAAAAGAGGCTGAAGTGATCATGCCCCTTTCCGTACCCTACACTACCTGTAATTCTGAACCGGTTGGTCAGTTACAGTCAAATGTAAAGGCGTATTAGAGGCTTGGAAGATGTCAGTTATCACAGGTTTGTGCTAACAGGAAGCAACAGAGAAAAGAAAACCACAGGCCCCAAGTCAAAGACAGTTGTATCCTAACACTTATGAATCCCAAGCAGCCATCAGCCAGATGCCCAATAAACAGACAAGTCAGCTCCAACACATCTGTGTCTCAGAGAGATGCTGTCCCTGAACCAGCTGGAAAGGTATAGGACTTTGCGGATCACTTTAATTGAATGCTATTGTATCCACAGTTTCATAGTTCTCTCTTCTACTTAGCTCATGTACATCATGTAGCTTTTTCATTATATATAAACAATCTCACCTTATTTGGTATAGGATGTGTACCTGATCTTCCATCAGATGATTTCGATGCGGGACACAGGCTATCACTTAGAACTGGAGCCACCTAAGAAGTTTCACATAAACACTTACAAAAAATATATTGAATTTTGTTACAAAATCATCCAACAAGAAACAAGGCTACTATCCCCACTCACACAGTATGCTAACTGGGACACAGTGATGCTATGTTAGGAAGTCTACAACAACTACTACTGAATTTAAGCTTTCGTTGGGATAATGAATGCATCTTGGATGTGGGGAATTTTCTTTCAAGCCACAATCACATCACTTAATCAAATACCATTGCTTGGATTTCATCCATTTAATTAACAATTTAATTCTCTATTCCATAAATTATCACTGTCATTGCCTTCAGGTAGTTCAATACTTTCATATATTTTATTTTAAATACATGTTTTCAGAACAGCTTTAAAGCTTTTAACAAAACCAATTCTAGCCTTTTCTAATCATATTAAAAAAAAAGTAGGGCAAAGAAAACACGTACAACTATAAGTGTTATCAAAACATACTAGAAATGAGAAAATAAGTGACACAGTGTTTTGTGTCATTTATCAGGGTTCACTCTGTGTTACTATATTGTAGTAAAACATTAGTCAAGAGTACTAAGGTGGCATTAAAAGTAATAGAATGATCATGATCTTTATCTTTCAGCATTGTTTTCCATTAGTTATACAGAAGGCATAGCAGAAAAGAATACAATAAAGACTTGAGACACTGCAATACTACAACAATAGCCAAGTGTTCAAATTTCAAGGTTTTTCATCATTGAAATGAAAATGAATAAAGAATTATGAAGAAAGAAATTACATGTTAATGCTACTTACCTCTTCAGTGCCTGAAATCTTTTTCTGCTGACATTTTTTAACAACCTCCAACAACAGGGGCCCACCCACAGTACCTTCTGCTTCTATAATTCCCAAGTCTCGAGCTAAGTTTTCTCGACCATCAAGGCCATTTAGCTGGGGGGAAACAAAAAACCAAACACATTACCAAAAAAGTTAAAACAGAAACAACTGTCAGAAAACACAACCTACATTTTCTAATGTAACTCCTAAAGCTTTTTGGTTTAACACAGCAACATATTGACTAAATAGTGATTATTTAAGACTTCCTATTGCATGTGGACTAAAGTAACGATAGCCTATTGCATCATCTACTTCTGATCTGTACCTGAACTTATCACTCTTTCGCTCTAAAAAAAAACCACATGGATTTGGACAAAAACAGGGATGAAAATAATTCAGTGTCAGCCAGAAAAAAAAAAGGAAAAAGAATTTTTTTTAAAAAACCTGAACTCCACATTATAGCAGAAGCAGAACGCTGCAGCAAAGCCAGGCTGGTTGGCATAACCTCAGAATGGCAGTACTGCAAAGGGCATCAGTTGATCTTGAACTCTTACAATTATTTAGTGATATTTCCTATCAAAACACTGGTCAAACAAATACTGAAGCAAGCCACCACTAGCCAAGCACACTGAAACATGAAGGACAGACAATTCAACAGCCTGCTCAGAGACAGACAAAGTAAAATCTTTCAGCACTACACACAGTCACTACATGCTACAAAGCTCTCTCAGCCAACTTGCTCAACTTTGGCCAAGTTTCATACGTGCACTGCAATAAGTGAAAAAGATGCTTTTACTGGAAAAATGAAGGAGGCATTTTAAAGAGCATGTGATGTCTTTTGAATGCAAATGAAACACTGCTCCCCAGAGTGCATGACAGAAAGCACAACTGTTTCTATTTGGTAGCATGAACATAAATCTTTGTACAGATGTGTCCTAGTGCAATAAATGCAGCTACAGATATTTGGCAAAGGACAAGGGTGTATGGGATTTTCTTTCACTGAGCTCCTAAAAAGACACATGAACTTCTGAGAAACAGATGTCAATTAATTTAACAAACTTGAATTTTTAATAAATTAACTATTTAAACACTGACATTAAGAATAAAAATTAGTATTTCAGATGCAAAGAGCAATTCTTCAGTTAAATGGAACTGTTTCAAATCTAAATTTATTATTAAAACCTTTATATCCTAAGAGACAAAGGGACAAACATGATGAAAAACCTCTAACTCAATATCAAAAGCCTAAAAGCAATCATTTGGGCTATGTGATGACTGTAGATCCCTTCCAACTGAACTACTGTATTCAATCACTTTGTCACGTGCATCTGCACAAAGTTCTTTGTTTCACTGAAATTCTCAGAATACATTACTGACATTTTAATTTTCATGTAACAATCCTAACTTAGTACCATAACTTAGTAAATTATTGGCAAAAAAAATGTTGCAGGAGTATTCTGTTGTATATATATGATTTCAAAAAAATTATTAATTTACTAATAAACACAAGCAAGTGGCTTAAAACTACTATAGATTCTGTATTCGTGGCCATGCACTCCAGTCAACACAGCATACAAATAAAAGCAGTATATCTTACTGTGCTTGATTCAGGTTGAAAAACAGCCAATGTAAAATCAAGATTGAAAAACCGTAGAAATTCTGCAACAAGACCTGCTACCAAGCGACCTAAATAGGAAATGAGAAGAGTAAAAATACACCAGATGGAAACAATTCTTACTTGAAAGATTTAACATTAAGATGGCTTCAGTATGAGGATCTACATTGATTCAACACTCCTGCAAATATCATTCAGACATTCAGCAAACTACCACCACATAGCTAATCTGTATAAGAAGTCCCTGATTTCTAACTCAGCCATCATACCAAAATTAGTTGTCAGCAATACTGCAGGAGCAAAAAAAGATATTGCTTACAAAATTTAGGTGTAAGATTATTTTTTAACCTATTTAGCTGTTTTAAAGACATTATTTTGGCATTTCTCCTATGTGTCCATTTGCTACGGTAGCTTTAGAGTGAGTTTTCACAGATTACTGTTTCTATTGGTCTAGAATGGCTCTGAGTTAGCATAATCCTAACTCATAATGAAATATTAATTTAAATGTATTAATCATCTCAGTTAAAAATAAACATCAGCGATATTAACTTCAAAAATTATAGATTAAATTCTATTCTGAATGAATATTAATTAAGTTTGACAGTAATAAAAGCATACTTTACGTCATGAAGATGGTACTGTAATAAAAGATTCAAAGACTTAATCGTTTGTTTCCTATTTTTATTATTTTGAGAAGTATACTAAACAAAAAACTTACCGTCTTTTGTACCTAAAAAACTTTTCAAGCTTTCATTTACCAGAGGTGCTTTGTTCTGTCAAAAAACAAAAGCCAAACAGTAATTAACATCCTTGTACTAGCAAGAAACTGAAAGCCACAGTAAGTTGACGTTTTGGTGTGCCCTGTTCCACAATAACCCCTAGCACAGGTAATTCACTTCAAAATTTACCTTCGTATTAATTCTTCTACCTACAAGTAAAAACTGCAAAGTCATACATTTACTTAGGCAAATTAAAACTGTCTCAGTATTTCCATTGTAAAAGGTACAGAGTAATTTCACCCAAATTCTTAATAGTGTACTGATTTTAATTACTTAATGATTAAAAAAGTAAGTCAAGCAGTTAACTTCCCAACTTTCTCCTCTAATATAGTGCCTAATAGCTCTAATAAAGTTTAAGGAAATTCAGTCCCACTTTTTAAAAAATGGAAATTTACAAATCTAGACAAAACATGGACCCTGTTTATTAGTGGTTCACAAGTCAACACTAATCTTCTATTCATTAAAAGACCTTCAAAGATGTTATGGAATTATTTTTTTTCTTCCTGTTACATTTGCCCTCTTCAACTTTGACTTTTAAACTGAGATAAATTCATGTGCTGTTTAGGTTTGTCAGAATCGTTCAGGGTTTTTTCAAACCAAATTCTAAATGCCATTCCTAACATACCAAAATATCCTGGGTAAGAACCCAACTCAAAGAAAAGAATCTGTTATAGGTATTTATCACTAGAGTCGTAAATGCTAACACGCACAAAAAAAGAAATATATCTTGCTTAATATTTAGGAATTCAGCATAGTGATAAGTATTAATGTATTTCCAGTGTCTCTGCAGTGTAAAATTAAAATATCATGATACATTCTAAATGCAGAATTCTTCCTTAAATATAAGCAAATTATTCTGAAGTAAGCATGCAACATCCTTATGAGAAACACCAAAAGCATTAGCATACCTGGCAAGTTACTGCATTAAATTGCTCTCACAATACACGTCAAAAAATCCCACTATGATATTTTAAATTTCAAAAGACGTTATTCCAATTTGATAAAATCTTGGTCAGTCAGATAGATGATTTTTTAAAAAAAAGTAGTATTTGATGGAAAAGATTTAGTTATTCTGGTCAATTGGACAGAAGCAATGTAAAACCAACAGAGACAGTTACTTAAAGCTACAATTTCAAAAGGCTATGTTTAATAATTCCTATTTCTAAACATCAGAAAACACCCTGACAGTCCTGTTTTGTGTTCTTTAAGCATCATTCTCTTACACAGCAATAGATAATTTTCTCATATTTCACAAATAGAACATATTAAACCTATTATATTTAATTCTACATGAAGATATATCAGGATGATAATTTTTTAAGGTTCTCTTACCTCTACTTTCTCTTGTTCTTCTAATGCCAAAAAAACAGCTGCTCGCAACTCCGCCTGCCAAACAAAAAACAAACAGCATTTCTACAAGCGCTGTTTTCCCTATGCAAATAGAATGCAAAGAGCCAGCAAGTAGCTTGACAGCTATTTGTTTCTCCTCAAGCAATTTGGCATCGATTGTAATCTACATCAGGGCAATTAAGACATTTAAGATTACAGGCAATGTGACTTGAGGCTGAGAAAGAAGTGTTTTCAGTGTGAGAAAAACAAGGCAAGGGGCAGGATTTGATAAAAGACTTCCTAAATTATTCCTTCATACATAAAGAGATTCCAAGTTATCTACGTTATCTCCTGTTAGTTTCTTCTGAGAATTAAAATCCAGCTCTTTCAGGCAGTATAGAAACACCTACATTAAGTTTTAAAATGTATTATCACAAGGTTAAGAGACACAAAATTCCTATGAATTCTTGTCAGATCACACTCAAAGAAACAGAATTTCTAAAGGAAAAGAGAGCGTGATTCCAGTCATTCAAATACTCCTGTAGCACGGTTTTACCCAACTGATTTTGAATACCTTAATATAAAGGACGAGAATCCCTCCAAGAACTATTTTGAATATTTAAACTTAAACTTTACTTTTTTTAAAATACAACAGTTTCTCTATTTCTTTCATTGAACATACCAAATAGACAACACATATTTGATGTAGTCTGCCACTTGAATCAACTCTTTATCTGACATTTTGACGCAGCCAGCAGATTACGCTAAGTAATAAACTACAAAAGACAGTGCTACTTTGTATATCAGTTTTCCCAAAAGCAAAGAAGAAAGGAAACTTTTAAAGAAAGACTGCCTTCCATAACTAAGGATAAGAACAATATGAAGTGTCTGGATTTCCTCCTGTATGTTCAAAGGGTAATTAAACGTGGATTAGCCTGTAAAAGTTCTCTCCCACCGAAAAAATAAAAAAAACCTTTTCATGGAAAAAAGAAAATAAACACTTCTTTTTTAAGCTTTACCCTCTTCAGACACCTTTTTAAAGGACAAAAAGGTAACAAAAAAAGTTTAAAATATTTCCTATAAAAAGAAGCAAAAAATGCTTACCACAATAGTATGCAATGGTCATTCTGATACTGGAGTTACATTTTTTTTCAGGTGCTGGGATACAGCATTCAATCAGCAAATCCTCTTACGACCCATTTATTTAAGTATTGTTCTTAAAAAAAATCAGTTTTGGAGCAAGAGCTAACAACTTTATTGTAACTTTATATGAAAAACTTCAAATGGTTGCAAGGCTGACCCTTTTCCACTGCTGCCACAGTGCCAAGGAGGGTCCATAAGAGGACATGAAGAGTAACAACGTGTTTGTGAAACAGACTGGCTAGTACAACTGCTCAAAATAAAAGACACCAGCTATTACATGCGGGTAAGGGTAAAGCCCCTTAAGGGTCTGGATCATAAGACTGTATAACAAAGTTGCCTGAAAGTATTGCCATTCCATCAGCTGATCCGGAGTCTGATCTGTTTGAGACTTTGGAATAATATGACAACTGTCATTCCTTTTCACATCACTGTGAATGTTTGACTACTTCACTCCTCTAGGTCCAACCCAGTGGCATTTAAATACATACCAAGGTTCCTTTCTTCCTCTCTTCGTTTATTTCATGACAGAGTGTCAGTTTCTTCCTGATGTTGCCATTCCCAATTCATAACAGGTTCACTTTTATTTCCATTACTGCCCAATTAATATCCTTAAGTTCACCAGAAGATAATGCTACTAGTATTTATTACATTCCCGTTTGGCTTACCTGCATCATCTAGAATACCACCCTACAGCCTTAACATAAGAAGCAGCCCTCCAAATGGTCCTTCAGCCCCATGAGCATCACAGTAAGTTTGAAGTTAAGCACTCCTGTGCTATCTCTACAAGGTTTACAACATTCCAGCACACTGACCTTCACTCTTTAAGGTGGGTACTGCTCAGATCATAGCAAAATATCCTCAAATCATCACCTCAATACGTTTAGACATGGAACCATACACTCATATCTGTGTGAGGTTAAAGCAGTAATTCTCAAATTCATGAAGAAGAAAGTAAAAAGCAACAATAAGAAAGCTGAGGCCAAAGGAAAAATTACCCCAAAACAAGGAGGTGAATCATCCTACACATTAGGATGGATAATGTCATACAGGCTTTTCAGGACATAAGATAAGTCACAGATAATTTGAACACCAGAGACTGAAACCACCACCATCAGGTATGGTCACGGCAATTTGATCCCACCAGCAGATACGGAGGCTTACATAACGGCATAGATGAAACCATTTATGCAGTGTTCTTCTTCCCTTCCCCCTTTAAAAAAAAAAAAACAAAACACAAAAACATGAACACTTTGCATTTCCCTTTGCCCTAGTACCCCCTGGCACCAGCCCAATCTGTGTTCCATACCTTGTTATAACCTGCTTTAGCTATCCCCCTATTCCCCACCACCTCATTCTGCCAGCAGTTTTCAACGTAAGCCAAATACATTTTGAAGAGTTTTACTCACAGTCTAGTAGTAAAGCAGACCAAAGCTTGATACTCAACTTCCCCACCTATATCCTTTCTAAGCCTTCAGTAAAACGGGGTTATGCCAATAGAGCCAGATGTTGACAAGTAAGATGACAGTATCTATCATGTGCTCACTCTGCCTGCCACAAGCAATTCTCATTCTCATGTTCCTAAAAGTAGGATACAGCCATGATGTTTAGAGGACCATACTGACATTTAAATGTTGAGTTTCAGTTAATCTGAAACCACTAAAAATGGTTGTATTTTACTTAACTTATAAACAAAAGAAGAAATTGACGTTACATAAGAAAATTAATTATTCTCCTTGACTCCAAGATATTTTAACAATAGCATTTCACATTTTTAAAATAGTATTTTTATTCTATCTAACAATAAATTATTTGCCTGTACCTCAGTTGTCTATGTTTTGAACAAAATTAGCAAGAAATTAGTAGGAACACTATCAGCTGACCAAAAGCACTGCTAGTCATATGATATTAGTGATGCCAACCTCCCTAATATTTGTAACAGTAAGTCCCACAGAAGACACAAAGTTCAGGTGGCACTTAACTGATACAAACCAAATGATACCAAACTTAAATGACACAAACCAAAAGAAAACAGGCTAACAATGGAACATGGTAAGAAGCAAAATGGCTCTTCTTGCTCTGATGATAACAGCTTCCCTAAGAGAGAGAAAGGTCACATTCTCTTCAAGACAGAAGAATGTCTCTATTTGTACAGCATGCATCACAGAGTATCAGTGATGGTTTTCACTAAAGCACAAATACCCACATTTCTATTCTGTATGTTAACAGAATTCATTAGGAAGCAGTCTTACACATCAGATTAATTCCCATGATTAAGAAACTATATATATATATTTGTATATATACACACATAGTGCAGCTTAAAGACAGTAAATTCTCAATTGCAAGTGGCAAATATATTTACACATCCTCCAGTTTTCACAATATTACTTCATTAAATACTCTAATTAAATACACTATTGATCACAACTATGTTTATTTTAATGAAAGGATGAAGGCTTTTTTTTTTTTTAATGCATGGTGTAATCTAATTTTAATTAAAAGCCGATGATTTAAGAAGACTTGTTCAACCTTAATTCTTCTGGAAGATGGGAGCTTTTTGTCAGGTACTTGCAGATCAAATCCTGTTAAGTCATTAATACTATCAATTAACAGTTACGTGCCAATTAAGGTTTACAGCTAAGACAAAAACCACCATGAGTTCCTCAAATGAGCAGCTTTAACCGTAATCATACCAACTACTACACAGTGACTCCTGGTGTTAGAGAGGTATAACCCAGTAAGTAGGATGCATTTTGTATTCCCAGAAGTTATTTGCTAGTAAGGTGCTATCTTACACCATATTGGCTGCTACACACTTCTAGCATTATAGAATGGTGAAAGTTACAATAAATGTATTTACACAAAAATCACTGAACTGGCAACTGTAGTACAAAAGCTTGCATACTACACAAAGGCAGGAATTAAGAAACTACAGCTCATGGTCAATATGAACTAACTGGCTTATGATTTTTTTTAAATATCATTTTATTATCACCATACTTTTATTGGTTGACACTGCATGAGAAGTTAGCAGATGGCCCAAAAGGCTTAACTAGAAAAAGGTCTCCCTACTCAAAATACAGTTACTTGAGCTAGAATGTTCATCTACTTATGGAACTTAGTTGAGTTATCCACTTGAAATACACAAACACCATATTTTTAATAATACTGTTTTGTTGAAAAATATGACAAACAGCCCAAAATCTAGTGGACTTCAAAGTACACACACAAAGATGCTCTCACTTTAATTAACCATTTCAGTTATTGAACTGTTCCTGAAACATCAGCAATGATCAACCACCTCTTAGATGCTTAAAACAGAACACTGTGGATAAACACCACCATCCTTGATCTGAAAGCCAAACTTCATTTCTCCTCTTGCTTGGAAGGGAATCCAGCAGTTTTTATGCTTCCATACCTGCATGGCTCTCTGCTATACATGACAGTTATTGCTGGAATCTTCTAACTTAAGCAAGAACCCATGAAAACCATTTTCATACACAAGCTCAGGCTACACCACAGGCTTGCAAAATAGCTTTACTATCTTTCATACATTTTCCTAACATAGCATTATTTGTTCCCCGTTGGCAGGCAGCATCCCCAGAGTTTCCAGGTTTAGCAAGCCTCCAAGACACGCCTCAAGGAAGACAACGTTTACACTGCGACCCTCAAGAATTCCCGCTTGGAATTCTCAACGGGGGCTTCTCGTATCGAAGCAGAGAGAAACTCTGTCCACCTTGTCCCACACCGCCCGGCGACCGAACGTTCCCAGCAGGTCTGGCAGCGGCAGGAAAGCTCCTGCGGCGACACGGTACCGTGGGAGGAGCGAAACGGCACGGCCGGGCGCCGGGCTCCCTGCGGCGGCCCGGGGCTGCCCTCCCTCTCCCCGCCCGGCCGACACGGCAGCCCCCATGCGGCGCCCAGGCCTCGGGCCCTCCCCTCCGCCTCCAGCTCGTTCTACCGCGCAAGGCAGGCGCTGGACCCGCCGTCCCGCCGAGCCCCAGGCCCGGCCGCCGGGGAGCACCACGGGGAAAGGCGGCGCCACCGCCAGGCCGTGACGCCAGGGGAGGGCCCCGGCCAGGTCGCCGGCTGGAAGCGGCAGCGAGAGGGGACGAAGCCCGTGAAGCCTCAGCTCCCCTCCGCGCTCCGCGGCGCCGTTAACCGCGGCCAGCACCAGCCAGCGCTGCCCCCTTCCCGCTGGGCGAGGCGTGGGCGGACGAGAGACTCTCCTTCCCCCCACCTTAATCTTATTGAGCACCCCGCTGCTTTCCAGCGTCTGCACCAGCAGGTCCCGCAGCTCCGTGTCCTCCTCCGTGGCTGCGGCCGCCATCTTGTTTCTCCCTGACAACCGCCCAAACTGCGCTAGCGGCGGGACGAGCCCGGCAGATTCGTCTCCGGTGCCGGCGGAGGCACCAACCCAGCGGCGGAGCCGAGAGAGGGAGGCGCAGCGGAACGGCGGCCACCCTCAGCGCCGGCCCGAAAGGAAACACGGAAAGACGGCAGTCACCGGGCGCGTCCACCGCCCGCGGCGCCTGGAAACTGCGGCGGCGAACAGGCAGGGCGGCCGCCGGGCGGGAAGTTTAAAGCGGGGGATGGCGTTAACGGCTGAACCGCGCGGCCGCTCGCCTTCGGCAGTGCCACCACCCGCACAGGCTGCCCCTCAGCCCCTCCCTCCCGCTCTGGTGCTTCCCGCTGCACTCGAACGCTGAAGCGGCCCGCCCTGTCCCGCACCGGCGGCTACGGGTGCTCCGTGTTCGTCCCCTCAAGCGGGAGAACAGGGGTGCTGACATGGCGTTAGGGGTCAAGCAACCTCGTCCCAGCGACGAGGAAAACGCGGCCCTCGGCCTGTGAGGGCGGGCGACTCCCTCAGGGTGGCGACTGGCCCTCGGCGAGGCCTCTTATCCCACTTGCCCCGCCACGCCCCCGGGCACCCGGCCTCCGGGAGCGTTATAAAGGGCTCCTAACAAGCGTGTCCGTTGCGTTCAAAGCACAGGTGTTGTAGGTGAGTGAGGCTTCAACCTTATTGTGCCTTTTAAAAAAAGAAAGACACAAATCTTTGTAAGTTGTAACGCTTGATTTGCAGCGCTACGTGTTGCTTTCAGGCCCTTTTTATTATTTTTTTTTTTCCGCTTAATTTCCTATGACTCTTTTTTTCTGCAGGGAACTCAAATACATGGTGAAGCACGTCGGAAGCTGCGGATGCTCAAAGGGACCCCCCCGGGTGCAGCGGGGCGTCGCTGGGAGCTGATCATCACGGGCGGCAGCAGGTGGCACTGACTCTCTAGCGATGCCCTAAAGCCTCGGCTGAGCCTGGGTGCCGTTCCTGCCGCCCCGCTGTTACCGAGCCCCCGGGAGGCGCTGCTGGGTGCCTCAGCCCCTTTCTGTCGCTGCTCGGAGGATGTAACACCGCGTTTCGAAATCCTGCAGTTGAGAAAGGTTTGGCGGTCCTTCTACTTCGGTACAAAAATCGTGTTAAAGTGAACCTACGGCACTGAGCTTCTTAAGCAAGATGTTAATAGTTTCCATGTAGTTTTTCAAACCCCTATAGGAAACAAATCCTAAATGCAGAAGTGTAATGTCTGGTATTACAGTTATCATTTTCATTTGTCCACCAAATCTCCAAACTTAATGGAAAGACAAAACTCACTTGATACAAATATACAAGACAAAAATGCTTGATAGAGATTGTAAAGCAAAGGAAAAAAATCAGAAGACTTGGAAGATAATTTATAATTTGTAAATTTCATTTCAGCATTTCAGTAACAGTGGCTTCCTGCTCTCAATTACATGCAGAATATGTCAAAGCCAGTGTGCAGATAACCCTTTTTAATCTCTGCTAAATAGTAGAATAAGACTTAGCTAAATATTCCTCACCTAGAGGGCAGCAAAGCATTCCAATAGTCCAACGTCCTACCCCGCACACAATGTCTCCAACTGCCTCATGTTTGAAGGATATTTGCCATTTTGAATGTAATTCCCAACTTTATGGAAATCATAGAAACTCATTGCAAAAGATAAACCAGAACTATTTTTACAGTAATGTTACCACAGAAAGAATAAAAAGTTTTGGCACCACTTTACATCTTATAAACCTGGATATTTACATACGCTTGTCAACAATCCCCAATACTCTGAGTTGTATTAAGATGGCCTATCTGCCAACTATTGATGAAAGATGAATGTATTTTTGTTTCACAAATGATTATTTGAGAAAGCAGTCTTATTATGGTTGGTTTTATTCTTCAAACAGGTTGCAACAACAGCTGTTCACATTACTGAAATAATAATCTTCTTAAGAGCAGAACATTTTCAAGTCTTAACATAAAAAGGTAGCAAACACTGAAAGTAGAACTTGGCTTTCTCATTATAGATGTCAGTATCTGCCTCTGACACAATGTTTGATTTAAAATTATTGATTTATTAATGATTTTCTTGTTTCCATCACAAAGATAAATATTAAATGGAAAGTCTTAAGGTGATAGTTACCCACCATAGCTCTCCATTGTCTACCCTTCTCATATTCCTCAAAAACACTCTTTTTATTCTCAAAATTTCTCAAAATTCCTCAAAAGCCTCCATTTATGTCACTATTTTGTAATGATATAATGACAGAAAAAATATGGCTTTTTTTGTCCTAAGACCTTAAGAACCTACGTTATTTTAGAGTATTAATTTAGGTATTTTCATCCCTAGTCTGCAGATGAAGACAAAATCCAAGGCTGAGAGAACTTGGTGTCCATGCCTACTGACTCCTCTCGGGCAGTGACAACGACTTCAGTGCCAGATGGAGCGGTGACAACCTCAGGAGAAGCAGCAGCGCTGAATACAAGGCTCTGGAGAACTTCACTATTTTTAACTCTTCAACAAAATTTCTGAAACTTTTGATACGTCTCAGACACTGTCAGAGGCAACAGCAGATGGATCACTTCTTCCATCCAGCTCGACATTTACTGTTTCCACAGAAAGATGGGCAAAGAGGTTAGTTTGCCTCATCTTCCTTCTTACTGTCTAAATGTGTAAACATAACTAAAAGAAATCTTGACGGTGAATAATACTGTAACTTTGAACAAAGACCTTATTACAAAGACTGTAACTAATCTGTTCAAAACAAATGTTGTTTTGCTTGTAAACCTGCCCACATACTTCTCAAATGCATTAAAGGAAGACGGGTGTGACACATCCCCCCTCCCCTAGTTCAAAACTATACAATACTAATTAATAACCACGGTTTGTATTTGTGATTCAGGCGTCAGCAGAGAGCAAGGTGTTGGGATCTTCTTCACAGTTCACCGTAGCGCTGAGAAAAAGTGAACCAAGCCCAGGCTGGGACGGATGCTTGTGACTCATCCCGCCGGGTTGCTTCCTCCTCAGAAATCTCCCTCTTGTTTCCAAACACTCGTGTTGCCATTGCAAACTTCCCTTGCCGGGCCTGCATTCCCCCGTCCCCCTCTCCGGGCTGGCTTTAGGCAACCATCTCCCATCTGCTATTTGAGTCGATTACTTAAAAATTAAAATACAGGGCATCCTCATTGCGCTCCTGGAGGCCCCCGCGCAGCACAAGTTTTCAGGAGCAAAACCAGAGAATTAAAACCTAGAACATGCTACAGAAGAACCAACCGACTCATTAAGATGAGCACAACCGCGCGTACAGATAGTGTCCTCCGCGGCCGCACGGTGTTTCCGCGCAGCCCACGCACACAGGGCTCCGTTCCCGCTCCGCGGGGCGCCGGTGTCCGCGACGGCAGGCAGGCCGCGGCACCCGGCCGGCGGCGGCGGGAGGCGGGGCCGGTCCCGGTCGGCCTTGCGGAGGGGCGGGGAAAGCGACCCGTCCCGTGGCTGGGTCGCGGTGCTGTTTTGTCCGCCCGTCGGGGCGTCCGCTCGTCCCGCCCACAGCCCGCTCCGAGGCGGCGGCTGTGCCAGGTCAGCCCCGCCGGGACCGCCCGCCTGCGCGGTGCTAACACCGGCGCCAGAGGAAGGCCCGGGCCGGAGGAGCGAGCGGAAGGTAAGGCGGGTCGGCGGGGCCCGGGCAGCGGCGGGCTGAGGCCAGGTGAGGTCCCGGGTGCGAGGCAGCGGGGCTCGGGTGCGAATGCTTCCGCTCCGGTCTCCCGCCCCTTGACCCGGCCGTGGTGCCCACGGCGGCGGGCGCGCAGGGGGCAGGCAGCGGCCGGGCCGAGGCGCTCCCCTGCCCGGTGTGTGGGCCGTGGCCTCCGGCGAGGTTACAGGCCCCCGCGGAGCCGGATGGGGTTTGCAGGACCGGTGAGGGCTACAGTCGCCTCAGGATTCGTTCCCGAGTTCCCTGTGAAGCAAATCGAAAGTCGGCCAAAGAAACTGTGGCATTTCCCAGAGTTGGGAAAAGCTGTTTCTAGTTCTTGGTACACTTGTCATCAGCTTCGGGATCCTCCTGTCGCTCGCAGGCGTCCCACTTTGCCTTCTCTGCTGTTCTGCATTCTCTACAACTTACAAAAACACCTTTGTAACAAAGCCTGATGCTCGTTTATCTGGAGCAGGCGCTTTATGGTGTCAGGAAGCTAAATCTTACAACGCTGCGCTGAAAGTACAGCGGTGTGTTGGTTTGTGGTGAGGAAAGTGAGGTGCCGCCTTCTTTGGACTTCCCCAGGAAGCCCCGCGCTCCTGCCGGGCTCGCCCTGAAGCCACTGCGGCACAAAGTTCTGCTTTATATTGGGAGAAGTAGTAAAAAAGTTCTGCCAAAAACTTGCTGTGTCAGTGGATGTGAGTATTGCACCTAAAAACCTTTACAGGGCTTTTGGTAGTTACTTGGGCCAGCGCTCGGGTGGATGGCTAGCTGGGAGTGGGGCTGCGGAGGTAAGGGTTCTCAGAGCCCAGTTCGTTGTTATAAATTAAGTTAAATGCTTCTGATGCACAGTTTTGCAACTCGGCTGCCTAACGTGTTGTGGCAGGGGTGGCGTGCGCAGCCTTGTTTGACATGGTACCAAAACTTTGGGTGTTTGTTTTTGTGGTTTTGATGCTGGGGTAGCTGTGCTAATTCTTATTTCTCTAGCTGTTGCTGCCAGTGCTTTGCTGTGTGCTCTGCTGTTTGCCATGGGAGTCCTCTGGCTAATGCTTAAATGCTCTTCTGCAGTCTGTTCTCTAAGTCTGGACTAGAGTGTAAATCAGGAAGTTTTATATGATAATGTGGAGTTTATTAGGTAGGCTAGTTGTTAACAGCACACAAAAAAAAGAAGAAATTAAGAGACCGGAATAAAGGTAACTAATTGCTAGCATTCAAAAGAAGCATATGCTATGTCGGCAGCCACCTCAAGATGGTATATTAGAATTCAAACAATAGTAAATATATTAAAGAAAGGTTTCATCACTATTTTTCACTATTATCCCTAGTCTCTGACAAGCCTATGCAGGTCAGTGGTACCGGCACTGAACAATGCTAACACACCTGAAAGCAACCTTGTCCTGATTTGTTTACTAACACAGACACACTTCATATGTTTTAGTTAATACAATTTTAATTTGGATGCGTATTTCCTCAGCTGTGCATCATTTGGGTGCTTTTCAGGTGAGGTTGATGCACTTTTCACCTCCCACCATCGATGTCCAGATGAATAGGTCAGTTTGAAAAAATCACTTGGTCTGTCACGATAGCTATAATATTAGCTTCTAAGGTAAAACCTTAGAGAGAGTTTATGTATTGTTTATCAGTGGCAAAAAGTAATTTATTATGTAAAAGTTAAAGATCTGAGGCTTTCACATCTGCTTACTGTCTCTTGTGTCCCTGTGTTCCAGGTCCAGGGTGCAAGCAATATGCAGAATAAACTAGTACATTCCATTGCTCCAATAGCAGCATTTTTTGAAGACTCCCTGTTTCTGGTCATTAACTGATCAAAGTTAAGAATCTAATGAAAAGGGGAGAACTGCCTTTGAGCTTTTTTGTAACTTAGTCACTGGAAAAAATGTTTTATTGTGCCTGCCATCTTAAGTCATACCGGTCTGCAAAAGAAATGCCATCATACTTGCTGGCTTATTTTTCTTCCATAATTTACTTCCTTGGGATGTTTTTTCCACACCCTTGTACAGTGCAGCCTTTTTCAGTGATGGTGTGTGACATTAACTGTCTTTTAAATGGTACCTTCTTCTCTCTGAAGAAATGTGCTTTTTATAGGTAGGGCAGAATCTTACACGAAGATCCCTCGCATCTCTCTATCTTGGGTAGATAGTTTATCATGCAGAAAAATAAAGTCTTAGTTGGTTGGCTATTGATTGAAAGTAACAGTAGATGAAATCATAAATAGGTTTATAAGGCTGAATCTTGCATCATTAATTCCTACTGTTCAATTGATGAGACCTGAGATCACTTCAAATGCAGAACTCTTGAGGAGCGTGGATAGCTGGTAGTTAATTACTTATTTGCTGTTTTTTTAGTACGTTATATGAATATATAAATTTCTTTAATACAAGGTGTGTTTTACTTCAGCTTTTGATAAAGATTAGTTCTATGTTATCAACTGCTTTTGTATACAAGTAGCATACTCCACAATTATTTGAATTTTATTGTGCTCATCTAGCCTGGTGAGTGAAAATCCTTCAGGCCTTCTTAAAAAAGCTAGATCAGAAAATGAACACTTGCCAACTAATATTTATCTAGTAATATCTTCTATTAGGCCATACCATTTATCTTGATAATAATATCCATTACAAATTAGAGAGACATTAACGTGAAATAGATGAATATCTTAAAGGGTTTCAGTTCTTCCCAACTTAGGAAAACCTTGTGCTAAATCTTGCTGGGTGTTAGTAGTTGTTGCCCAAAGCCCTCACCAGTTTTGAAATCTTGATGCCTTTTGCAAGCCGTGAGGCCACCTCCTGCTTGCATCAGCTCTGCCACGGAGTTTGCAGAACCGCAGGGTAGGGCTTCTGGGTGGGCAGGGGGGTGCAGGCTGGTCCAGAGCCACGACCTGATGGGGGGAAAGGGGGGCTCTTGTTTATAATGAGCCAGGGACCAGGATTACACTGAATTTCCTAAGGTTAGCCTTAATGGCTGAAACGGCAATGTCTTTACTGGTGTCAAAACAGGCTTTATTTGACTGTTACAAGAAAGGATTAATTTTAAAACCTTCATAGCAAAATGGATGTGACTTGTGTAGTGAGCAACTTAGAAGGGGCACATGGGCTACAGACCGTGTCCTGTAGTGCCTTTTTCTAGGCTTCTCAAAATGAGAAGGTTGGAAAGTAGGTTTGGTGAAGCGTTAATAATGGCATGCAAATACATGCATGTACATCTATTTCTGTGATGGTAGGTAGCATTTGAAAAGCTGTGAAATGGCTGGCGGATACAGTAGGCAGCTGGGGTTTTTTGGCCTGTGCCAAGTGAAAGTCCTCCTGTTGGTGAAAGTTAAGTTGATTTGTTTTGGGTTTTTTTTCTCCCCTGATTTCTAGGGTTCATGAGGTAGCAGGCAGGTCATGCATGGTTTTGTAGAGGCTGTCTCGGGATTATAACAAGAACAGAAACTAATCTGGTTTTAGCAGCGTTTTTTTTAACATTGGTTTGGTAGTTGACTGGAATTTAGAGAGAATTTCATCCTTGCATATCATACTTCCAGTGAGTTTCTCAACCCAACGTGATTATTCCATGTTAAGTTCAAAGTTTCTTTAATGAATCACTTTGGCTGACCAAAGGTAGAGTCTTACATTGCATAAAGAACAGTTGCATAGAAGATTCACGTATCTCTGTTTATTGGAAAGTGGCTCTATTTGGGACTGTGTGGAAGTAAACAAAAAAAAAGGAAACCATGATCTCATCCTTGATGCTATTAGTTTATTAAAATTAGTGTACAAGCTGGGGAATCGGGCATAGCCTTGAAAGAAATCATTTTTTTTTACCCATGGTTATAAATTTAATTACCTGCTTTTTCTGAGATAGTTGTGTTTTTCCGCATTTTGACACTTGCAATTTAGTGCATTGGATAAGTAACAGATTTCTTCTTTTAACACCTCTTTACAGCTAATTGATTAACAAAATGAAGCCAGTAAAGCTGCACTATTGGATTCTGGTTTGGTTTGTTATGGCATTATGTTGTTGGTGTACTTCAGAAAAAATCACTCAAAGGTAAGTTACGCTTTAAAAAGAAATCTCTGACAGTACAGAGCAGAATAGTTTAACTTCCAACGAGTGTAAATTCTGTTATTTTATTGTGTGCTACTTTTGATCCGTTATTCTTCCCTTAGGTGACTGGTAAAATGGGGCATCCACACCGTGGCAATGTCTGATTTGTTCTAGAGCATTTCTGCAAAATTATTTAATGCAGATACATGTGAACACTTAAGAGGAAATGTAGCCATTGCAAACTAGCAAAACTGGAGGAAAAAATTGAGAAGGGGTGTAACATGGGAGCATCCCTACTTCCTCAGGCTGAGAAGAATTATCTTTCTCATACATTTTTTTATATAACCTCTGACGAGCACTAATGAAGGACATGTGGCTATTAGCTTCCAGAGAATAAGAATTTATTTTGACAGTATTGCACATAGTGCTGTCAGTTTGAACAATTTACAGTTCTGTTTTTGTTGAGTTTCCCACTTACTGTTCTATTTAATCACTTAGTGTGGTTGCTTAATAGCTAAATATATCTGCTGTAGTGTCTGAAGCAACAGGGTTTTTATCTACTTCTAGTTTATCCAGAATAGGTCTGCGCCAAACTGTTAGAAAAATGCCTTTCTAGAAGTGGCAGAGACATGATACAGGCTTCCAATGCTTTTTGAACAAAATTTTTACTCTTCCCCTGCCTTTCCCCCCTCCCTTTTGCATAGGAATAAGACAGTACTGATGCCTCTGAGTTACAGATCTCTATTCTAAAATGCTTTGAAACACAAGTACTTCTGTAAAATATGGGATATTCCTTCTTTAGTTCTTCCTTAGGTAACTTTAAGAATGTGTCACAGTTTGTTTAATTTTAAGAAATGTAATAAATAATCAATTTATAATAAGCATTTAAAAATTTATTATTTAAATTAAATGTCTATAAACCGATAAAATCAGCATTTCTGATTTTTATGGTTTTTACTTTTTATTCTGATTTTTTTTTTTTTTTTTTTTTTGGTCTAAAGAGTTGGAGCCACTTGCAAGATCAAGTTGCGTCTCCTGCAGGGTCAATTACATGGCTCACGCTAGTTTGTCGTCTTTCTTTTTTAAAAGAGTATTTGCAGTTCCCAGGATGTTGTATGCTTTCGTTGGAGTCAATATACCCATCAAGAAGTAGAAGATTCTTAACACCCTAAACAAAGATTTTTATTTCTTTTAATTATTGTTGTAAAAGCTTTATAGTAAGCACTCTCCTAAATATAAAACGGAACAACATGTTTCTTCCATATTTAAGAAATGGAGATAGGATGCAAGGAGTGGAATTTGTTTAACAATGGAGGGGTATTAGCAGGTTTCTACATGTGTTGTTTCTATGTGATTTTTCAGTTTGGCCTTACTGTGTTTGTGTGGAGTTCTCAAATATTACAACAGAAGCTATAAAAGCAACCAGTTCTAAAATCAATGAAATATATTATTAAGTGTTGTGCTGCTGGCTGAAGGCATTGCTCTTTTTAAAATCCTTGAGGAAAAATAGATTTGTCTGTCTTTCTTCAGGGGCAGCCACCCTCATGCCTGGAAGAAGCTGTATCTTGCTCATCACTGGCCAGTGACTGTATGTAAGGTGAGACTTCTCATTCTTTTATCCTGACAAAGGTAGCCTTGGACAAGAAACGTTTAAAAAACAGAATGAACAAAGCCCATCAGCATCTTGCTTATTCCCTGTTGTTGGTGCAACTTTTGCTACTCCTCCTGCACTCCAGAGCAGCAGTAAACAAGACAGGATTGCAGTATGTTACAGGTACAGTAGTCAATATAGGACATACTGTACACTTAGACTTAATCACTTGTTAGGTATTTTTTGATGTTTTGTTAGTTGTAAACTTAATCCTAGGCTTTCACCAGGCTCTGTAAGGAGATTTGCTGGCCTTGTCTGACTGAAGACAGCAGATGAGTACTGGAACTGCCTGCTGCACAACTTTTAGCTTTGTAACGTTGGCTCCAGTGTTTTAATCAGTCATCGAACTCAGTCAGGGAAAAGAGAGCTATGAAGCTGTTATGGCAGGTGCCTCTGAGTATTTGTGTATTTGAGGGGTAGGAACCAAAAATGAGCCCAACCTTCCACACAGGTCTGTCAAAAGCATAGCTAAGAGGTGTACTACTTACGTCCCTTTTGCTATTAAGTACCCACTGCCGTCTGATAAGTAGAATGTTTTTCATATACTGGAAATACTTGAAGGTGTTTTCTCATACAGTTAAGTTAAAAATATGCTATACTTGAAAATGGAAGATGTGATCAGATGTACTGACACATGGATGAAGAATCCTGTGAATAACAGAGAAGCTTCAGCAGTTTTGGGAAATGTCTCGGAAGCCAAAAAGGTTCCAATTCTGCAAGACTTGGGTTTATTTATTACAGTTTTAGCGGTTTCAGTCTCTTTCTTTTTTTTGTGTGTGCTTTTGGTACTTTTTAATTCCTCATTCCTATTTCTGGAAATATGTATAAAAGCAGTAGCAGCCAAATGCACATACTGCTTAAGTTTCTGGGGAAAAGTAGGTGTACTTTGTATTAGTTAAATGTGGAGGGGGGAGTATCAATAGTAAAACTCGTATGTGCATGGCTAACTGACACCAAAGAGTGTCTGCTGTTCTGTTTCTTGTTTGTTTGCCTGCTTTTGAGGGGCAATAAGGGCAGATTTGATGCAATTTGTGTCTAATTTCCTGTTGAGTAAATATCACTGCTACTGACTCCAAGCAGAGACCTTGGTGTTCAGCTGTTTGTGGCACCTGGCACAAACAAGTGTTCCGAGTCAGTAGCAGGGCAAACTCTTATGTGAATGAGATGCAAACAATTACAAAAAGTAAAAAAACAAACAAACCCTCACAAAGCAAACAAAAAAACCCTAACAGCTGGTTTTTTCCCACTGTATGTTCATGCTGTCTACTACTCTTAATTCCAGGATAGTGCTATTGGTGAATTTACGAATAACCTTTACAAATTTACAATGAAATTGTAATGAATAATTGAAGATATTAAACATCAGAAAATGTAGGCTTTCTTACACTTTGTTAATTTGTTATGATCTTCTGTAGTAAGAGGGGGACAGAAGCATTCCAAAGGAGTGAAGAAAAAGTGAAATTAAAATTATATAAAGTGACCTTTTGCCTAGTTTCACATCACTGAGTCGTATGAAGAAACAGAATCTCAACTGTACTTCTGTAACAGCTTTATTTTTGCTGACATTAATGTAAGAGGAGTTCCCAAATTCAGCTGTGGGGCTTTTTTAAGTATGTAGGTTCTCGTGCACGTTCAGTGTTTTTATATATGATTGCTATGTTATTTCAGGGAGGAAATGTTTTTCATGTCATTTTTCAGTTTAAAGCTGTTAATATGATGTTGAAAGGAAAAATAGCTGGATGAAGGAAACTGAAAAACTCATTATATCGTTCATGTAAAAAACCTTTGAGATGCTACTTTATGCAAGTACTTATTAGCTTATGCTTCCTATATAAAGGAACCTGATTATAGACTGCTTTGCTGCGTACTGTGTTCTTAATATGTGTGTGGATGACCAGAATCTTAATTCCTATGTGTTTTGCACATCTGTGTTCAAAAAGTTTTTCAGGCTTTTGAAGGCCTGAAAGGCCCTTTTTAAAATGTAGTGGAAACCGAGTGTTTCGTAATCATATCTTCTAAACTAACTTATTAAAATAAAATAGGGAGTTTCATGGAAGCAATAATAATCCCAGGGCTCGACTACTGACTGCTGCAGTGAGAGGGTGAAGGAGGAAGAGAGGTGTTCTCCCTCATCGTGTGTTTAGAAATTCCAGTACCATGGAACTGACCTAAAATGACTGTCTTCTACAAAGATATCCAAGATAAATTCATAGTCACTTGAGATCTGTGAATTTAATGTTTTCTTATGGTGCAATTTACTGACTTTCATGTGCCTAATTTACGTAATTTAAACTTTCTGGTCACAAATTTAATGTGAATCCTGTTTGGTAGAAATAGGAGTAACTCAAGTGCAAGAAGAGGGACTTTCCTGCTCCGTTTTTATGGAGTTGTGAAGATTTTTAATTTAAGAACTTAAAAAGAAAAATATTATTGTACCTTTTGTATCTTGGAGATTGCAAAAAGAGAAAATCTTCTGTGGGTTTCTCCTTGTGAAATGGGGAAAATCCAATGCAAGTTTGTAGGCTATTTAGTTCCTCCTCTGTTGAGAAAGGGAAGGATGATGAAGAAATGGGTACTAAACCCTGCGGTGATCTGCCTCTCACTGCATATGTGTGCTGGTCAAATGAAAGAATCAAAGGACAACAGAAGAGGCTGGTGAAAAGAACAGTGTGAATTCAAATGTGAATGTAGTGTTAAGCAGCAGATTAATTTTCTTTTTTATATATATGAGATAAAAGGTTTTATTAATTTCAGATTTGGCGATAATGTTATAGCAAAGGTTTAAAGGAAGAATAGAAACTTTTTTTTTTTGGTAAAAATAGAAGTAGCTGCACTATATAGAAAGAACTAAAGTGACTAAGGTGACAGTAGTACATTATTATGATCCAGCATTAGATCAAAATCTCCTTAGATAATGGGATACCTTTATTTCTTTGTCTGTATACTAAGCCAGGTATGTCAAAGTGAGTCCAGCTCTTGCCAGATGCTTTTTTGGAACAAAAGGCATTTTTTCCTCAATGCTAGTGTAACTTATAAAATAACTCTTAATCAGTGCCTTCAGCTTCTCTGTGAATAAGGTCTGGTTTAGATGCTCATTTTATGATATTGTTTAAAATGAACATTGGAATAATGCAGTGACTAGAATTAAAAAGGAGGATGAATGAAGCTGGCCAGAGTATGCAAGGCATGAACTAAGGCATTGTAGGTTGCATTGGCCTCACGGCTCTGCCAGCAAGAGTGCAACACCAAGAGCCTGACGAAATTGTGTAGAAGCAGCTCCTTAATAAGGTTAGTGTTGTGATAGGGGAGAACTGGTTTGAAATCTAACATATTCTGGGCTTTCCTTTAGCCTGCCTGAGACCTGCAGTTAAAAAGACTGGATAAGGAGCACAATTGTACTGTTCTTGTTGCCACCCTTGGTTGAGCAAGCTGGTTTGCTGGCAGGTTGTTTTTCAGGGGGTGATGCATTAGCTGCTGGCTATTAATGTGCTGTATTTGGGGCTGGATGGCTGAACTCTTTCAGCCCCATAAAGCTTGTGTCATGACAGTAGCAATGTTGTTTAGGCATTTGCAGTGTGTGTTTTTTGACAACATTCCTTTCAGGGAAAAAAGCTGTTGCTGGGTTTAATTGCTTCTATTATTGGTGGCAAGAGAGGAGAGGAAGGAAATGGGCACAAACAAGAAAGTCTCGCAGAGCTTGCAGTTTTGCTGCCACTGGCCTGTGGCATGTGGAAGGCAATTAGTAAGATTACAGGCTTCTCTCTGCTCCTCTCTACGCTCTGCATTTGCTTTGGCACCACATAATTAAGGCAGGATGCAGAGCCCAAAAGGAAAACTATTATTATGGAGACGAAGTTGAGAAGGTTGTTATTTAATGGCAAAAAGTGTTTACTAAAAAGAGCCATAATAACTAAGCAGAATAATCAGGGAAAATACAGTAATGATATTCTGTGATGTGTGAAGATGGATTTCTTGGTTTTGTTCAAGAATATGTACTGTGCTCTAAGCAGTAATTAATGTCTAGGCTATTTCTCCTGCATTGTCAAAAGTTTTGACTGGGTGTTTTTTTTTTTTGTTTTTTTTTTTTTAAAAGCATTACCCAGGTCCTCCCTTGAGGTTTTGTGAACCCTAATCTTTTAAAACATTTAAGTCCCTTTGCCATTATTTAATTTCCTTCAATTTAGCTTACAGCCACAGAATATTTTCTTCATAAAACTCAACAACTGATATTATTAGGCAGTTTACTCAATAAATATTTAAATGCACATTTGAAACATGATTCTGGAAAGAAATATGACATAGTTTTATGTTACTTACTAACTTGCTATTATTTAAATATACATACTATATATCCTCTGCAGAAATTGTGTGTGTGTGTTCCTGTCTGTTACTTTCTCAGGGAAATACTGTAATGGTGAAGGCATTGGAAATTTATGAGAGTAATTTCCAACAATACTCCCCCCTTACCTCATCCCTCAAACTATCTCTGACTATAGGATAGGTCAAGAAAATCAGGCAAATGCTTGGTGACTCCAAAAATGAACCTCCTGTTCATACTACCAGTAGTTCTGCAAGACACTAACACCATAGCTGGCATAAAATGCAATTTCTGGTAAAATTAAAATGTATATTTTGTATTTGGTTAAAATATGCCTTTTTTAAAAAAAAAAAAGATGTAAAGAAATAAATTTTTTGCTCAGGCTAAAATGAGATTTAGCTTTAGCTGCTAAAATAGGATTTCGTTTTAAAGAACTTTCATTTTGATAAGAGTGATCCTAGATATTACTTCAACACCATTTACACAACACTACTTTTCTTTCAATTAGTTAGCACCGTTAAGGGAAACA